AGAAGAACAGAAAATGAAGAGAATAATACGACAATATGGAATTTGTACACTCAAATTAATTCTCTAAAATCAGAAAATATTAGATTGCGAAGACAAATAAGACGTTTAAAATATCGTTTACGTTGTATTCCACAAATACGTAAAACGCCGAAAAATGATAAACAGAAGAAAAAGATATTAAAAGAAATGATAGATGAACAAGAGCTGCATCCCGTTGCTAAAGCAATGATAAAGTTGCAGCTACATACACCAAAAGCAGAGTACACGAAAGAAGAAAAAAATCTTTCGAGACAACTCTATTATTATTCAGCCGCTGCTTTTTGTCGCTTAAGAAAAGCAGGTTATAATTTTCCTGCACAGCGAACTATTCAAAATTGGCTAGAAGAATATGATATACGACGAGGATTTTGTGATTATATATTTCAAAAATTAAAGGAAAAGATTTCTCACATATCAATGGAGGAAAGAGTATGTGCTTTAAAATGGGACGAAATGGCTATTAAACCTTATGAAGAATATTCGCTTAAATTGGACGAGATAGAAGGCCTTGTTGACCTTGGATCTCTAGGAAGAAAACCCGAAAGAGCTAAATGCGTTTTTGTTTTTTGTCTAGACAGCTTGAATGCGCATCATACATGGCGACAGCCTTTAGCATATTTCCTCCCAGGAAAATGCATGAAAGCAGAGGAAATAATAATATTATTAAAAGAATGTCTAGATAGATTGAGCGAAACGGGTGCTGATGTGCAACTTGTTACATGTGATCAAGGCACGTGTAATCAAAGTGCTTATGCTCAACTTGGCATTAATCTAGAAAATCCATTCTTTATATTCCAACAGTAACAAAATTAGTGCGCCCAACAACTTTATTTACAAATATCACTAAAACGCAATTGATGGCATTTAATCGCACGTGGCAATATCATTGGGCAACTACACAGATTCTAGATAAAATTGTGACAGAATGTATACATGCAACGAATAAAACACATCCTGGATGGGGGGTTTAGTGGGTGCAAGTCCCACATAACCCCGAGGCCGACCCCGAGGTATGCGTAGGTATTTTCCCCTCCCGCACCAAGGGAAAAAATGAAAAGAAAAAACAGCGACTGTTACTTACGATTTTTCACTTATAAATCTCGATTGGATTGTGTCCAATCGAGACGTATATAAACAATACTTACAATTAGTTATTATTTTTCTATTTATTGCATAATAACACATATTTTACAGTTTGATAACAATCTTGTATATCAATCTCCATTTCAAGGATGTCATATGTTTTCGTTATGAAGACATGTCAAAAAGTGGATGTATTAGCATAGACATGAACCAAAATGACCGACAGTATCGAAAAGTGGATGTATATTAGCACGGACATGAACCAAATGACCGATACCGAAAAGCGATACGTTAGAAGAACAAGGACAGCACGCGATTGTCGCTCCTTGTCTAGATTTATCTCTCAACGATCGCATCCGTGTGCTCAACGTATCGGTGTTTGTGCCTTCACGGATACTACACACATACGCGATGAAAGAGAGACAAAGACGGCGCGATCATCTCTCTTTGTCAAGCGATCAGTGTACTATCACTATCGAAAATATCGAAAAGCGGATGTAGCACGGATATGAACCAAACTCGAAAAGTGGATGTAGCACGGACGCACGGACATGAACCAAATGACCGACAGTACCGAAAAGTGGATGTGGGTAAGTGTTTCCAATTCCTAAAAGTGGATGCACGGCGCTGCCCTACGGCCTAGAAAAAGCGTCCCATGAAAATCGCCGGCATTGCCTCTCTCAGGCTTCTCTCTGGTACTACTAGCATCGAAAAGTGGATGTAGCACGGATATGAACCAAACTCGAAAAGTGGATGTAGCACGGACATGAACCAATCGGCTGTTTTATCGGCTCCGAAAGTGGATGTGGCCATGTAGTTCCAGGTGGCGTAAAATGGATGTACGTGACGTTAGTGTACGACTTAGAAAAAGCGTTAAACGAAAAACGGCAGCGTGGCGACTCTCATTCTTTTTTCTGCTAGTAGTAAAACCTGCCTAGTACTAAGTCCGCTAGTTATAACCGCATTCTAGTCTTAAGACCTGCTAGTAATAAGACCCGCATAATACTAAGTCTGCTAGAAATAAGGCCTGTTCGTAATAAGTCCACTAGCTCTAACCGCGCCGTAGTCGCATGTAAATAAAACCGGGAACGATTGCACGCCGCACCTGTCTTGCGCTTCTCGCCGCTTTGCACTCATCGCTTTGCGTCTCCGCTTTGCGCCCCGCACCCGGCTACCAGCGACACCGCTCCACGCACGACATCGCCCGGCCCTGCACCACCTATCTGCTTTATCTATCTATCTCTCTCTCACTGAATAAACTATCTTTTCTACCTATACTGTGTCTCGTAAGCTTGAGTCTCCACTCCTTAATATGATTGGACCGCTCTGGAGACGTGCTGGGGATTTCGTCTCTCCGTGACAATCGGCACTGCATCCATTGAGCGGAAAGCGAAAGACTCGGGTTCGATTCCCGATTCAGCCACTTGTACCTCGCATATTTTTTCAGACCCGCAAATGTTGTTTTCTAACAATTATTTGTCGGGCTGAGGAAGTGTGTAAACGCCCTACACAGATACGACAGTGCCGCTGCCACGGAAGAGATGGATGCTTGGTTCGTGCCTCCTCCCGCCTTAAATCCCCCCCCCCTCGCTTCACTCAGCTACAAGCTTCTATAATAAGTATGGTTTGTTTTTAACCCGTCTATGATTTCTGCGTTTCCTAATTTAAGTAGTCCTTCTTTATGCATCTTTGTGCACCTACTACGAGATGTTTCTTGGAGGTAACTCGCGTAACCGTTATGAACGGCCGCAATATGCGAATGCATACCACAATGATATATGGTGCGCATTATCTCTATTTTACATTGTATAATTTCGGTATGAGCGTAACTGAATAGTTGTAATAATTGTATATAAGACTGTGTTGTCGTAGGTGTGTCTACCGCTAAGTCGCACTCGCTGGATCTTAACAGCGAAACGGTGGTGACATTGAGGTACGCTCCTCCGCAATCGTATGCTATTATAGATGTTGTGCCAGAGAGTAACGCTGCGGTGACTGACAAGAAGAGTAGAATATGATAAACCTTAAAAATAGAAGGTTACAATTAGAAAAGGTAATAATATAGTAGTATATATAGTAGTATATAATAGTAATATAGTAGCATATATAGTAGTATATTATATGTAATGTGTTACAAAAGCACAGTATATACAGTAGCGCAACTCTCCCGATTTTGTGTTGGCCAAAACGGAGTGCGCATGCGCGAAATAAGTAAGTTGGCCAGTAACGCTATCTAAATTTCTCTGTCACTTACTTTTTTTTCTACTCTTTTGTTCTCTCTCACACTATTTAAATACCCAATTAAATGCCTACTGCCTACCTTATTTGACAGAATAGATGACATTATATGTTATTTATTGTACGATTGCGCAATTTATCAGAGTTTTTGATACAAAGCGATTACGAAGCGATTACAGATATTTAATATAATTATATTTGTAATTATAACTTTATATATATATATGTTTTTTTAATACTGTCTTTATAATACATTTAACATTTTTTGAATAATATTTTATTTTCTCTTTTTTGCTCTCTCTATTATTTCATGTAATATATTTTGCATATAGCATAATTATTTATGTAATATATTGTATATTAACATAATTATATTAATTTTTCATTATTTTATTTTTTTCATTTTTCAAATATATTATTAACAATTTATCTGTATATATTTTTTATTAAAATACATTATTTTGGATTATTATTTATTGCTACATATGTATTAATGAGTTAGAGAGAGAAAGAAAAACGAGAGTGAGCGAGAGAAAAGTTCAGATGGCGTTACCGACCAACTTACTTATTTCGCACATGCGCACTC